CCCACCAACAATGTATAAACTTTAAAAAATTTGAACGCTATTTTAAATGCTCTCGGTTGAGGTTGGCAAATTGTGTTTCATAGTTCCTTGGGGTTTTGAAGAGATGCCCCATGACAAAGGGAGCTTTTAGGTCCTCCATAGCAGCTTCTTCAAAGAGAACTGCTCCAGTTTTGTTTCGTTTTATATATTGAGTTCCCTGTAAGAATACACTTGGAGAAAAAAGAGCTTTATTTGTGAAGTGTTGGAAAATCATTGTAGTAAGGTGGTGCATCCAGAGCTTGGGATGTGGACCATGGGTGTTAACCAGGGGAACGCTAGGTGGCGCTCCAGGACCCCGCAGATAGTGGGGATCACACTGAGAAATTGAACCCCCTTTTCAGCTCCTTTTCAGTCCACATCTTTGTGTCAAGGAGGTCTTCGTGTCTTTAACTTTCACCAAGACTTGTTAATGGCCTCATTTACAACGACACAGTAGGCTTCGGTCCCAGAGCCTTCAGCAAGCAACATCTATCTAGAATGAAATCAACATATAGCCTTGTTTTTTTTTCTTTAAGATTTTTTTTTTAATTTATTTATTTGAGGGTGACTGGGTGGCTCAGTCATTAAGCGTCTGCCTTCGGCACAGGTCATGATCCCAGGGTCCTGGGATCGAGTCCCACATCGGGCTCCTTGCTCCACGGGAAGCCTGCTTCTCCCTCTCTCGTTCCCCCTGCTTATGTTCCCTCTCTGGCTGTGTCTCTCTCTGTCAAATAAATAAATAAAATCTTTAAAAAAATTTATTTATTTGACAGAGAGATAGAGAGCACAAGTAGGCAGAGTGGCAGGCAGAGGGAAAGGGAGAAGCAGGCTCTCTGCTGAGCAGGGAGCCCGATGCGGGGCTCGATCCCAGGACCCTGGGATCATGACCTGAGCCGAAGGCAGCTGCTTAACCGACTGAGCCACCCAGGCGCTCCTAGCCTTGTTTTTAATATATTGTTTTTGCAGTTATCTTTAAAAAAAGAAAAGATTCTATTTGTTAGAGAGAGAGAAAGCACAAGTAGGGGGAGCAGCAGAGGGAGAGGGAGAAGCAGGCTCCCCACTGAGCAGGGAGCCCGATGTGGGGCTCGACCCCAGGGCCCTGGGATCATGACCTGAGCCAAAGGCAGCCACTTAGAACTAACTGAGCCACCCAGGCACCCCTATTTTTGCAGTTATCTTTTCATTTAAGACAGGTACCAGTGGTTTTCCAATTTTCTTTTGAAGCTAATTTACTTTATACTTTAAAATGTGGGTCATTTGAAATAAAAATACCAAATATTGTATACCTCATTCACAAACGTGGCAAGAATTTTGAGACTGTGCTGGAATGACTGAAGTTTGGGAGATTCTGCACTACTGGGACTATTTATTTAAATAGACCTCGAAGTGGAGCCTTTTGTCAAGTGGAGAGAGCACCTTGGTAAAGCACGTAACTGTCTCTTAGTATATTGTATGAGTTTACAAGTTTATCTAATAGTAAAGTCTCAAAAGACAGTCTTCTCTTGCTCTTAGTTTTTGCAATACTTGTTTTTCAAGTTCCTTCTTTATTTACTGATTTGACAAATATTTATAAAATCATTAGGCAAGCACTGGGATGCAGTAGTGAAATAAACAGGGTCCTCGACATTGTGAAACTTGCTTTCTTAAATCCTTTCTCCTTCGCCTCTCAGAGGCTGATCAGGGAAACCAAGGGCCTCTGGATAAAATTTAAATGATGCAAAAGGTAAAGAAGAGATAAATGACTTTTTTAAAAAAGTTATTTTAATACAGTCACAAGGAGAATTTATTTTATTTATGTCCTTGGAGTCCTCTGGATGTGTACTTTTCTATTTGAAACATTTTGCTTATTATTTTGGGAAAATAATATGTACCTATAGACATAGTGATAAATTACAAGACATTTTGAGGTTCCTTCCAACTTTAAATACTTGAGGTAGGGCATCACAGACAAGGGGCGCTGCTTTTGCTAGAGTACCCATCGATGCTAGCACCTCTCCAAAATTAGACGTCTTTTACATTAGAGGTCACCAGTGAGCAGCTGCCTGAGTTCTTTTCAGTCACTGGCATTTCTTGTTTGGCCACGTGGTATTTTAACAGTTTAAAAAAATGAGTTTCCAGCATGTACAAGTCAGGAGATCTCACGTAAAAAAAAAAAAAAAAAAATCAAGACAGATGTCTTGTTTATTTTGAAAATTCACGAATCCGGCACCACCGAGACAGCTTTTCGGAATGGTGGAGTTGGCTGTTGCTGAACAGTGACTGCCTTTTTTGCGCAGAGCACATGCTCTCATCAGGTCATCTTGCTTAACTCATTCATGTTACCTTTCTGGCTCTGGCAGGTATTTGCATTTGCAACTCCTGCTTTAGCCACTTGGAGCCTGGGCTTCATGCAGGAGAAGCACCTAGAGAATATGAGCATTTCTTCCTGTGCTAGAGGGCTAAAAATGTCATCGCTCTCGAAGCTCAGAGTGTCCGACTGGGTATATGGCCTGGTCTAGTAGATGTTATTCTGGACCCAGGAGGCAGAGATCAGGGTCCTTTTCTGGGCTAGTGCTAGTCATATTATCCTGGATCCTTTAACAGAGGAGATACTATTTCCCATCTTATCTTTCTGTATCAGTTAGGCTTTTTGACTGTAAGCAACAGAAACAAGATTCTGGTGAATTTGAACCAAATGGGACTTGATTCAGAGGATATTGGATAACTCCATGGTATCCAAAGAAGAGGAATGATCTCTACTCAGAAAGTTCAGGAAACCAGGAATACTTTGAGGACCACAGGTGGTAGGAACTAAGGAAATTGATAAATGGCCTCCAAGTTTTTTCCCTTTCTTTGTCATTCTTCTTAAGTGTCTCAAGTCCTGGAAAAGCGAATCAGGTTGGCCTGGCCCACATCCTTCATGGGAGAGAGCGGGACACTTTATTTAGTTGGCAGTCTCTCTAAGACTGCATACAATAAAAGACTTCCCTAAGAGAAGGTTTGATGTTGTTACATAAAGGGGGACGGGGTCTGGATAGAAGGCAGCCAGACAACAGATGTTCATTACACCTCTTCTCAAGGCTGTCATGGACGGCATTTGGTATACACTGCCGAATGCCATAGAGGAGTAAGGAAGTAGTATTTCAAGTTACGTGAGGACCAAATGGTGAGTGTGCTCTTTAAGTGAATGAAGGCATTGGCATCAGTCAGATAAGCAACCAGTACAAAGAAAGTAACAGGTTGATTCCTTTTAGTATTTGCTTTGGGTATAACATCTCCCAAGAAGCCACACCAACTTTATCTTTTAATTTTGTATTGTTATGTTAATCACCATATATTACATAATTTGTTTTGGTGTAGTGTTCCATGATTCATTGTTTGTTCATAACACCCAGTGCTCCACGCAGAATGTGCCCTCTTTAATACCCATCACCAGGCTAACCCATCCCCCTACCCTCCTCCCCTCTAGAAACCTCAGTTTGTTTTTCAGAATCCATCATCTCTCCTGGTTCGTCTCCCCCTCTGACTTACTCCCCTTCATTCTTCCTCTCCTGCTATCTTCTTCTTTTTCTTTTTTCTTAAAATATGTTGCGTTATTTGTTTCAGAAGTACAGATCTGTGATTCAACAGTCTTACACAATTCACAGCGCTCACCGTAGCACATATCTTCCCCAATGTCTATCACCCAGCCACCCCATCCCTCCCACCCCCGACCACTCCAGCAACCCTTAGTTTGTTCCTGAGATTAAGAATTCCTCATATCAGTGAGGTCATATGATACATGTCTTTCTCTGATTGACTTATTTCACTCAGCATAACACCCTCCAGTTCCATCCACGTCGTTGCAAATGGCAAGATCTCATTCCTTTTGATGGCTGCATAATATTCCATTGAGAAGCCACACCAACTTTAAATGAAAAACATGCCTAAATTCTCAAGATTTCTATTCCAGTTACATGAAGATAAATATGTGCAATGAAAAGTTCTAGCATTAAAACTCGAAAGGCATTTGCTCGCTCACATTTCAGGTGCCAATAGAATCCTCTATATTGTTTTCTTAATTGTTTCTTACATTACATGAATTTGCACATTTAAAACACATGCGTGCAAAATGAGCATACAGGAGTGAGTTGTAGATAAAATTGAAATGACACTTTCGGATTTGAGTTTTGATGTAATGCTCCTTGGTAGGGTGAGCAGGGTATGATGTGTAGGGCTTCCACTATTTCTAAAGGCAACATCGGATGTTTTCCAATGCTCGGTAGAAGCTGGAGTGTTTTTGTACTCACCTGTGAGCCTAATTTCTCTTAAGGACCGTACCCGTGACCGTAGAGTAGGTGATTCTTCCTCAAATCGGAAGGCTGCTATGCACAAGAATCCCTGTACATATCATTTGAAATATGTCGTGGATTTTTAAAGCTGGAAGCCTTCATTGAGACTGAATTTGATTTTAGTCTTATTGTTTCTTTCTTTGCAAGCTTTTGATTTGCAACAAGCAAGGAAAATGAGTGAACCAAAAAAAAAAAAAATTGCTTGCGTGGCTGGAAATAGAAATTAATGATTCAGACAGGAGAGGCAGTGCAGAAATCCTCAGCTGGGTGGCAGGAAACAGAGCGAGCGAAAGTCAGAGACTGCTCTTTTTTAAAAGGCAAAACAAACAACTCACAGTGAAGTGTACGTGAAAATCATTTCTAATAATAGCTCATGGGAGGCAGTTCCCAGGAAAAAGACTGGTGGTGCACTGAGGAAATTAGAGTGAGAACACACAGTATCTCGATGTGTTACTTAAGGCAATGAAGCTTTTGAGTTTACCTTATGTGCCTTGTACATTGATTAAATACAAAATATATGCTGGCCATTTTTGACCATCATTTACTGTATTGATTTGTTAGCAGGGGAACTGTAATAAAAAAGCCATTGATTTACTGTCCTTATTTGCTTATGGGCTTTTTTTTTATTATTAATTTTTCCTGCTCTCTCTTTTTTTGGACCATTCCTTCTAGACAAATGCTGTGCTTCATGAAGTTAGAAGAGAGGGTGTCCCCGTGGAACAAAGGAATGAAATCTTGACTGCCATCCTTGCCTTGCTCACCACACGTCAAAACTTGAGGAGGGAGTGGCATGCCAGGTCAGTTCTCTGATGAAATGGGATTTGTCGTCCCTGAAAACACCGCGATGTATTCGGCTGAGCCCTTCCTCACGATGCATCTTACGCCTCTCATTGGAGGGGCCATGAAAAATCAGTAAGTTATAGATGCTCTCAGCCAAAGTTAGCTCTCCTGCACACGGTACCTACTACATTAATTGTAATGAGCCATGATGTCATCTGTAGGTGTGTATGATTCATCCCTGAGTGTAACGTTTTGCATCAGTGGTTGCATCCTGAGCATAACAGAATAGAAGTAGCTGATGCCAAAGGACCCTTTTAATCACCACTCTAAAAGACTAACATTGCTGCCTAGTTAGGGCAGATGTCTGGGAAATTCACACGGTGCTCCTACATCACTCAGTGAGAGGCAGTTTGCTTGAAAGTGGTCGATTTATCAAATCCCGGTTTTAGAATTGGCCAAGTAGGAATTATGTTGGCTTCAACCTAGTTTCTTTGCTTATGGACTTACCTGTGGTTAGAAAGCTGCTACTGGTACAAAGTTTCCGTAAATCATGAGTTTTTGCAGAATTGAGGCTTGCGTACTCTAGTATCTGTTATCCTGCTCTTATTTGAGAAACAATTGATGGGTGGAAGGCAGGAACTACTTCCCCCAAACGTTAGGGTTACCCTTTAGATCTGCACTTGGTAAAAATTGCTGAATTATCACCTGTCTCTCAGCAAGAGGGAGAGGAATCAGGAAGATCATGCTGAATTTTTGTCTCCGAGTCTTATTTGAGGCTTAAAAATCCTGTGTGCCTGGGAGTCAAGAACATTGATAGACATATTTCTCCAAATGAGTTCAGCAGCAGAGTTTGTAATAATTAGTGGCTTTACTAGTAGTAACAGTTATCATGAAAATTGGTTTGTCTGAACAAGGCTAAAGATGAGCATTTTCCAAGAAAGGAGACAGTTTAAGAGTATGAACTGTGCATTCCGACTGGGTGTTGGAAACTTGCTGCTCAGGTATATGTATTATCTCTAAACTCGGACTTGCATTAAAAGAATAACTTTAAAATTCACCTTGATACTCTCCCCTTCCCCTCTTTTTCGTAGTGTAGTCAGATCAGAGTATATGAGAGTTTCAACTACAGTAATTAAATAATCTCCAATTTAACTTTTCTTGTATTCCAACTTCAGCATATATATTCATTAAAGTATGCATATTTTATTAAATACTGGAATATCCGTGTGGGGACATCTAAGATGTGTTTCTCTCTGTGTTTAACCTTTTATATCTTTCCCCCCAGGGTGATTCTTATTAAATAGGAAAGAGAGAAAGAAAGAATTTCCCTCTAATCCCTTTTCCACCACCCCCCCCACCATCCCTCCAAAGACAGCACAGCTCAGAGACCAAATGTTGAGGATGGATGTCTTCTGTTGAGTGCATTTGGTTTGTTAACAATAATTTCCTAGTACACCACATCATCAGACAACATGCCCAAAATGGCCTGTTTAAAAGGAGTCTGGTTTCAGCATTTCTGGCCCTTACTGCTAACAGTTTAATCAGGAGCTGGAGCCAGTGTTGAAGTTGATGGAGTCTAGCATCTGAAACAGAAATTCTCAAGTCCTTTGTGGTAGGGGAGGAGAAAAGAAAGAGCTTAGCAGCTGACACTCTGCAGACCCCTTTAAAACTAAACACCTGAAAGCAAATTTCAAGAGGGTCATGTCTTGAGAGCTCAGAAGGAAAAGTGTCTTCAGAGTATTAAGTAACCATAATCCTCCCCCCACCCCTTCTCCACCCCCATTTGATGTTTCCCATCCCAGTGACCTATCTGAAAGACTCATCCATATGATCCGTATAAACAGACTGTTACCATACACCTCTCTTTTCCTCATCAAAGCATCCTCTGACCGTCTGGAACCGGGCACTGGCCCGAGTAGCCATCAGGCTGGTGGTGGTGAAAGTTATAAAACATCCACCACCGTGCTCCCCGAGCCGCCTGTGTTTTAGAGATTGGCCCATTGTGTACTTTGGAATTACACGAGGAAAAATGTGCTTTGACAGAAAATAATTAGCGCTCGCCCAAGGCCAAGCAATAGGTTAGAGTATTTTACTTTCATCAAAGCTATCAGGGGATCAGTTAGATTAGATAATAGAAATTTTTTCCTCTGAAAGTTAAATACAGATGACTCTAATTACCTTCTATTGCACGTTGGAGAATGCGTTATGAATAGTACAACTTCAAGAAATGTAGGTCAGCGGAGACTTTCGTGGGAGGCCATTGTCATAAAGGGCCCCCGCCCCACAGGCTCCCCTGCAGTAATGATATTAGGGAGAATATTTTAAAGCCGAACTTGTAACTGGGTTTTAAAATACTTGTCTCTCTCTCAGGCCAAGAGCCGCGCCATTGTTTGGGACTCCCTGAAGTCTCTTAAACTGAAAGCATATGTTCCCTGTAATTTAGCTTTTTGAGGAAAGTGTCACTTCTGCCTGACTCGGGGTAACCGAGTTTGTCACAGTGTCACACAGCCCTGCGATTCCAGAGGCACAGCTGAATGCCGTGGGTTTCCTTCCCCAAGCTCGGTAATCCCAGAAACAAGCCTCTCCAAATAGGCTTATTAGGGCTGTCTATTCACTTCCCCCGAGCTGAATGATCCAAAGTACATCAGGAGAAGCTGTGTGAATGCTGGGTAAGTGTTAACAGAAGTGGTACAGAATTTCTGAAGATTTGGCTTTGTTTATACAGTCCACTCTGCCTGATGGACAGCTTGTTATAGCTTTTAAAGAACTGGGCAAGCCCTCTGATCTGACCCCTTCTTGACCTCTGCAGCCCAAAGGTCAGTCTGCAGCTAATAAACCCTGAGGTTCTTAGGGTCTACTGTAGGAAAAGGCAGAAAAAGAGCAGCTGCAGGGACTGGGTGTCCCGGGTGAGGCTGCGTGAGGGTCACTCTCCGATAATGAAAATGATTACCAAATTATATGGAGGTTTAACCGCAATAGTGAGAGAGAAGAGGGTGGAGCCCCGCGTATTAGGTCTGATAAATGAACTGTGAAGAAGGCCCATCTGGCTCTCAACGTCTTGTCTCCCCCTCTCTCCCTACCAAGGGGAAACATTTTAAAATAACAGCAGTACATATAGACTCAATGACCCATGCAAGGAGCTGGAATGGATTAAGATTTAATGGTGACAGTGGAAGAAATTATCATTTGAAAAGTGCACTGAAGAAAAGGTACAGCTCCATGTCCGTGCCCGAGTTGTTTTTCTAAATAAAATATAGCAAAACATTGGCGCCTTGGTTTATTTCCCACAAATCCCTAGCGCCTTTCCTCCATCGTGGAGAATTTTGAGGGCATGTCTGTTGTGGAATAATTATCCGTAGCCAGCCGAAGGAAAGGAATGGGCTTCCTTTGCCTTGAACACGTCGGAATGAGAGTCAGATATTTTATTTTCAGCTCGCTCACTCAGTTGAGCGAATGTAGGTAAATCAAGCGTTTGAGAAAATGCTCTACCAAAAAATTGCGTTCCACTTCAGCCTCTGACCACCGAACATTACGCATGTTTGGATACTGAGTATCCGTGTCACTCCCAGACACTGTTTTGTTCTTACCACAACTTTGCGATTTCTTGTCTGTAAAAGGAAGACAAAAGCACATAATGTTAATTGAGTAGATGGATTTGTTCCTTTCTTTATTCCTTTTTCAAAGAACCATCATAGAGATGTTCATTTTTGCCAACAATGGGCGGGTCATAAGCTGCTTGTTTACTTACTGTTAATTGATAAGAGTAATCTACTTAAAGCTCTCTCCCAGCTCCCTGTGAACATAGAGTGTCCTGGCTTCCCACCAGCAACGTCGGGCTTCACAAAGCTCCGTACTTCTTGGGAGCCGGCGGGCACAGCCTGTGACTCTGTGCTCTGAAGGGAGAATGAGTTGAGTCCATTAGCATTTTTGTATGTTTCGTATCCGTAGCACACACAAAGCACTGCGTGAGGGGCTGGGCGTGCGAAAATGCGTTCGGCAGCCAGTTGAAGCATGTATCTGGGGGATGAGATTCTAGCAAGTTCCCAGAAAGGGGCCATGAAGGCAGTGGAAAGGAAGGCGGGGGAACCATCGTTAACCACAACAGAGCGGCAAGTTGCTCCAACCCACTCAGGAGAGTATTTCACCGTATACAACTTTGCAGACTAGAATTGCTGTACTATTGAAAATTCTCTTATGGTGCACTACACCGTCTACATACACAAGTGTTGCCCAGACGGTAGTTATATTTAAAATAGAAACAAAAAAAGCTTCTAAACATTACCCAAAGTCAGTGTGTGTTTCATCTTGGGTTTTGACCTGACCATGTCGGCCTGGGGGGAGTTAGAGTGAATCGAGAGCTAGGTGGAGGCTAACATGGGGAGTTGAGCAACACTTGTAGAATGAACGGTGCCTTTTAACTTGGAAACAGTGCCTTTAAATTTTTGCTAAGTAAGATGCAAATACAACAAAGTAAGACGAACGCCAGGCCATTAGGGTTTTTTTTTTCCCAATCAAGATATAATTCACAAAATATAAAATTTCATGTAACATAAAATTAATCATTTTAAAATTTACAATTAAGTGATTTTTTTCTTTTTTTAGTATATTCACAAGACTGGGCAACCATCACCATTATCCAATTCCGGAACATTTCCGTTACCCCAGAATGAAACCCCAGACCTGTTAACAGCCACTCTTAGTACCCCCCCCCACCTTCTCCCCAGGTCCCTGGCAAGCACCAACCTACTTTGTGTCTCTGTGGATTCGCCTGTTCTGAACATTTCATGTAAATGGAATCCTACACTGTGTGACTTTTTTGTATCCGGCTTCTTTTACTTCACACAATGTTTTCAGGGTTGATCTGTGTTGTAGCCCTATATAAGTACTCCATTCCTTTTTATTGCCAAGTAATATTCCACTATGACTAGACCACATTTTATTTATCCATTCACTGGCCGCTGGACATTGGACTGTGCAGCTGTTCTGAATCACCCTGCTGTGTACATTTGTGTACAAG